ACAGTTTGTTCCAAATCCTCCCCATAATTCTGGGAGCAAGTGGAATTTATCTTGCCCACAGAGTTTGGGAGTGAGAATATAGGATCCCATCATTCCAAGTTTGGGGTGTTGCCTTTTGGAGTTATTCATGTTGAGGATAGGTTTTGTCCACGTTGGTGTTGCTTATTTTCTCATTGTAATTCCAGTGGTTCAGAACACATCACTCTATAGCTACAGGTTGGGATCTACTCACAAATATATATATATATATATTGTAGTCCAAATGCCCTAGCCATCAATGTGGGATTTAGGAACCATGGCCCAATAATTCCAACCCTGAGCAGTGGGACCTCAGATATCTGGTTGGGGCCTGGTTTATAGTGATGATGGATCATGTCACATTCCACCAGCATTGCACGATATAGGCTCCTGGTGAAGAGCATACCTATTCTGAATGTACTGCAGTTCCCACACCAGGGTGCTAATCTCCTATTGACACACCCATGATTTATGCAAACGCATTCTGTATGGATAATGCCCTCACTGGCCCCTCTACTTTTTCAATGTGGGATTCTAGATGTAGTGTGAAAAGAGGTATGTATGTTTTGGAAGTTAACATTTTCTTAACTTTCTCCACACGAGCTCAGTCAATTTGACCGACCATGTGATTTTTTTTGTACTCATATAGTCTTTATACATTTGACACTACTAACTTTTGATATTGTGTTTCACAAAACTTGGTAGTCTTTCAGTAAACATTATAAGCCTTTCACATCCAGAAAACAGTATTTTTTAGTGAAGTATTTTTAATAAAGTAAAAAAGACTTGTCCTTGAATACAATGAGTATTTGTTTTGAATAGTCTGTGTGCAAAGTGATTTTCAGGTTAAATTAAAAATACTTTTTTTCATTTCAAAAAGTTCATTTGTGTAATTTTTAAAACCTTCTAAATACATTTTAAATGTTTTTATTATATTATTATTATTTATTTTACCTAATCTAACCTTAACTAACCTAAAGAGATCTCTATTTTTATATTTTAGTAAATTTTATAATAATAATAAAGAAAGAATAAACATGAAAAACAAGAAATAAAGTATTTACCTGAGTATTCTTTTTTTTTTTGCTGGCGACTATTCATGACTCTTAATCCTACTTTTTTATACTAATGGTACTTCTGCACTAAATAATTTTTTATTTAATTAAATATATACACCAAAGAACACAGAATAATCACATGCAAAAAGCAGACAATGTCCCATAACTATTACAGTTTTCTGGCTTTCTAACTATGCAACAAGAGCCATTTACAAATTCATCCAAGCTAGCCATTGTGATTTCCGTGGGAACCAAAGTTCTATTACAAGTGAAATTGACTATTCTGTGTTCAGAACACAATGTAATAGAATATGTCATTTGATAGATGAAAGTCTTGGCTTTCTTTTGGTTATAGGTAATATATAATTATTAACAAATTATTAACAAATCCTGAAAGAGAGGATGTGACAGGTGGGTGTGGAAAGAGGGGGTTTGATTTTCTATTTGATAAATTTGTAACCCAACAAAATTGAAGGTTATAAAAGTTATGGTTTGTTTAAGCAATGACTATTTTATAGTGAGTAATTTACATTGAATTTTATACTTTTTGGAGGAGTGATGGATAAAATGAACAGAAGATACCTAGAGAAATTGTCACACTAGGGGAAATTAAGGATTTTTTTTTAAATATTGCCTTATAAAATTAAGAACTTGAAACTTGTATACTATTAAAATATGGATTATTAGCTAAAATTTTATGCTATACTAATTGGTATAACATAGACAAAAAGTAGTTTAATAAAATTTTGTAAGTAAGACACTAAAACCTTGTGTCATGTGCAGTAAAGGATACCCGTGGTGATAGAGATAAATCGAAACTTTATTTCCAATAATACTTGCTTCCTTTCACACACTCTTACCCTCTTCCCCACTTCAAGCTAATGTTAGAGATTGGGGATTGGGTCAGTCTCGAAAAAGTGATAATGTCAGAAGATAGATATTGCCAAGGGCAATTAAGTTGGAAATAAAAGACTAGAGCAAGTGAGTGAAAATCAGACCAATGTTTAGATGGACAAAGGAAGAAATCCTAACAGTCGAGTAATAGCTGTAGTGTGAGAAGAGGTAAGTATTACTGGAAATACATTTTTGATTTAAGAAAATGTTAACTTTGAATTTGTTGTTGACATTTATAACATTTGTTGAAATGCTTCCACATTCAGTCGGCATTATTGATTACAAAATGAGCTTTCTCTGATCACTTTTAAATTATCTTGTTTCATGTTGAAAAAAAAATGTCAGACTCTGCTCAGTGGTTTGGATAGTACTGTAATTTATAGGATTTTTCAGTTTAAAAAAAAGTTAGTCCAAGATTCCGAAAAGAAGTTTACATAAGATAACTTATTGATCACTGAATAAATTCACTGACTGTAAATGTCTATGTTAAAATATATGCTTTTTTGAATAAGTTTCATATCACCTTTTCTTCTGGAACATTCTAATCAATCATTATGGGGTAGAACCACCCATTTTGTAGACCTTATGTGAACATGCCCCTTTTTGTGTAAATGATCACAATTCAGTTAATCCACTTCTTGTATATAAAGCTTCTAGAATATCCATAAAAACTGTGAGTGATCTAGAAGTTTCTGAAGTACAAGCTGCTACAAGTTTCATCACACACACTTATTCAGACACAAGGTTTAGCTGCTAGACCTGTAACATATTTTTGAACTTCTTATGTAAGGATTAAGATTTAGGCCTACATTAATTATAAAATGGACAATGTACTTCTTGAAGGTAGAATTCTTATTAAAAACTATCAAGTAGTTTATAGGGTGACTGTAAATATGTTGTACATCTGTCCTATTGGCTCATAAAAGAAACTGTAATATGAAACCACAATAAAACATGGTAGCTTACATTCCACAATAGATTATTCTAACTAAAGAATCCTGAGCTTGGTTTCAAACTTGTAAATTAGCAAGTTAGTTTAGTTCAACCAGTAACTGATGATTAAGATTGATCCATTGCATAATGTGCAAGTGAAGTGAGCAGTGAATTTACATGTAAAATACTAGTTTCATTATCTAAATGTTTGTGTGTGAAGGTAGTGAGCTGTTACAAGGAACTTTTATGTGCTAACATTGTCAGTCATTCTTTGGTTTAATGTTATCCTGAAGTTATGAATTCTGTGATATTATCCTTCACATTTAGAGAATGTTCGAACATCTGCGCATCTTAATGGTAAGGATTAGGAATCATGAAGCTTTAGTAGGTCAGTTGGTAAAGTTTTTGGTTTTTTTTAGCAGTGTTTAGTTGGTATTAATTTCATTATGATTCTTAAAACACAACACTTAGTATTTCCTACATATTTCATTTAATGTGAATTATCACATGTTGTTTACCATGACTTTTCCTAGAAAGCGTGTGTGAAGGTACTATTTATTGCACTTCAGTAATGTCATTTTTAATGTTAACTAGTTTCTGTAATTACCCTCCTTTGATGTTATTTATCAACTTTTAATTTTACATCATTTTTACACTTCACTTTATTGATTTAACCATTATGAAACTTTTTTTTATGGGTTTTAAGAAATGCACACTTGTATGTGTACTGCTTATAGGGTGATTTATTTTTCTCAGTTCCACCTTAGAAACTTTATTAGTTTCAATTCTTAAGCTTTTGTGACCTCAATTTTAAAATAGAAAGTAAAAAGTAAAACAGAGGTTGATGTTTAATTATCAGGTTTGTATAGCTGACCTGTGCTTCCAGGCTTCATATTTAAGGCTATCTCAAACAGAAGCTTTCTTTGTAGTTTCTAATTCAACTTTAGCATGAAATACATCTAGTTGAATTTTTTTAGGTGGCCAAATACAGATAGTTTACTGTAAACTTATCATGATTGTCATGCAAGTATGACATGCTACCTTGAGGAAATGTAGGGTAGTTTAAATGTCCATTGATTTTATTATACTTTTAATAATATATCCAATATCCTCTACCATGTTTTGACAAGTGTTTTAATTTTCCTATTTTCCCAGCTTATTTTGGAATTGAACTTTGTTTTTTAACTCTCTAGGATATTTTTTCATTTTACAGAAGAGGCTTTCTTTTAATGAAGACTACAAGTTACATTACAATTACATATTATGAATATGGCATTGCAATGAATAAATTCAAACATAAATTATATATATAATTTTTTAAAAGGAGTATCAATAAGCTAAAAAAATAATTATCTGTCAGAAGTACAGATAATATTTGAAATTGAAGGTTTTGAAGTTAAAAGGGATTTCATTCAGTATCAATCTCTGAGTAGGAAAATTCTTTTTTTGTCATGTCGACTTTTGATTTATATAATAAAGACATTTCACACGTGTTTGGTAGTCTGTCCTTTTGAGCACCTGTATGTGTAAAATTTACTTAAGAGCTGGTTGATTAATTTCGTTAATCAATTACGTTGATTAGTGTCAGTTAAAAAATTTGATTAACCCAAATTGTTATTAAATTAATTAATGTCACAATAATAATCACTGAATGAAGTTAATGTTTCTGATTATTACTGTTTTCAGTTGTTACAACTAGTAATTGAAATACTGTTTTTATGTTATCTCATTATTATTTTCAATTGATTTAAGGTTGTTCAACTTAATTGATTAGATCATGTCTCTCAAATATAATCAATTAAGCAAAGTTAGTGTTTTCAATTATTGCTATTTATGATTATTTTGACTATCCAAGTTTCACATGAGAATAATTAATGAATTAATCAACTATCAAATTCCACTTATCATCCAGCTCTAGTATCAGTACAGAAAGAATGGAGGTATTTGGTTCACTGTCTATCCTGAAGTACGTTGTGTATTGGTATCTGTAAAATTACAAGTGTTGGTTTTCAAGGAACGTACCCACCATGTAGCACTAGTTTTTATACGGTTTACTTAAATTATAAGTTACTAGTTCCTTATCTGGTATTTTTGCAGGCAAATCTCCTTGTTTTACTTACGACTACAGCTTCATTATAACATAACTAGTCAACTTTTTTTGGACTTCACAAAAGTCAGTCTTCCACTACACGTCAGAATGGCTAGAGAACCAGTTATTTTGAATGTTTATGATATGGTAAGTAATAGACATTATTTCATATGTTTTCTTGTTAATTAGGTAGATATTGAATTATTTAACTATACTTAAAAAATGTGTAATATTTTTTTTCATTCAAGTAAAATATACTACACTTTCATATGTAACAATTGATTAAACCAACTTTAACTGTATGTTGTACAGTAAATTAAGTTACATGAATGTATATTTGAGTGACCAGGATACTTTTATCAATGTAGTTTCAATTTTGTACAAGTATTGTGTATATGTGTTTCTGTATATACTTTTTTTCTACCATGTTAATAACAATGCTGTGTATACCTTGTATAAAAAATAAAAGTAGACTAGTAACCGTAGAGTGGAATCAATAGAATACACTGTAGTGGGAGAAAGAATTTTGTAACTTGTCAGCTATAGAGATGCATTATCTATCAAATTTAACCCCTATTTTCATGTCACATACCTGAAATAAATATACATTTAGGAGAAAGTTCAGTTTTCAAAGTCTCAACTACTTATATTTAGACTATTGTTAACTGCCTTTAAACTAGTACTGGAATTTGTTAGTGTGAAATGTTTTTTTTTATTATCAAGATTAGTAAATGCTTCTTACTTTATATAATTTTTCTCAAAAAAAGTGTTATAAGTTATTCAAGACCATCTCTTAGAATAAAAACACATTGTTTCATAACAGTGACACATTTGAGCACTAGTGAAAAAAGCTGTATGTAGCAGAGCTGGCATAGAAATCGTAATATTGTTCATTGGTGAAATCTCTATAATTACATTTTGTTATTTTAGGTTAACAATAAAAGTTAGCATAAATACACTTCACTGTTTTGGATCACCATTAAGATTTATATGTACTGATTAAAATACTTGTACATAAATTTTACTGTGGTGGACCAAAAAATAGAACACATTTATTTGAGAGATCAATACATTTTATTTTATTATTCTGCCCAGCAATTAAGATCTCCTTTGCTGATTGTTTTTGTAGTATTGGATAAATGAATATGTATCTCCACTGGGCCTTGGGGTGTTCCATTCAGGAATTGAAATTTATGGTGTTGGTAAGTAGAAAGATCTATCTTATTATGTGAAATTTAGAAACCTTTACTGCTTCTCTGCTTCTCTGTTACACATTTATTTTCTAGCATAAAAGAAAATTGTAAGGTTTCGTTCATTTTATTTTTATGTAGTCAACCTTCATTGCATGAATTTTGAAATCTTATCTTGAATGTAATACAAATATGACTTAATTGTTGGACCAAGTATTTTTAATGTTTGTCACACACTGACATTTGTAAATTGTACTCTGTAAACACAAATTGTCTGAGAAGAAAGAATTTGGGCTACCACAATCTACCACAATTTAAGTTGAAATTAAAAATATTATGTTTTGTTTGGTGCTTTTAGGTATTTATTTATAAACACTGTAAATAATGGTGAAAAGCCTTTTAATAAATAATAAAAAAAATTAGTATTAAATTAAATATACTGTGCCCAACATTCTAGCCTGATTTAAATCCTAGCACAAATGTTGCTAAAACTGAAAGAGTACAGGAAGTTTAAAAAAGTCCCTTGTATGTCTTCTTGAAGAATTTTTGTGATTAGATTCGTAAAAGGTTTTTATACATGAGTAGGTAAAGTTTCTACTACTTTGGATGGCGGAGCTTATTTGGCAAACTAATAACCTTCTTATTACCCTATTTTTATATAATACACATTTTAAATTTCACTGCTTATCATAGTAAATGTTACAGTTTCATGTAAAGTTGTTTTTCCGATATGGTATCTTACCTCCGTTCACATACATAGCTATTGTCAGTCAGTGCTGCCCTGTATATGTTTTTTCACATGCCACAAGCCTTGAGCTCCCACGTATACCCTAAGGTCAATGTGGTTCAACTGTGTCTCGCAAGCAAATCATCATGCAACAACCCTCCACCAATAGGAATGTGACACCCTCCTGATACATGTGACTACCTCTGTTTGATTCTACAGTACTATCATGTTTTGTTTGGCAGTGCTATCATCAAGACATTTTTTGTTTGTGCCCTCTTCTTGTGTATTTTTTGAAATTTAATATGGAGATATTTTTTTCACTGAAGCTTATGTGAAGCTTTGAAAATGTTATCATTTGCTTCCAGAACATTTATCTAGGCTTCAAGTGGCGGTACCTGTCTGCAGAATTGTAAGCTTTAATACATTGGGAGATTGATGTTATATGAGTTGACCTTCATTGGGCCTTAAGTTTCGTAACTCACACATTTGGGTCCGCCAACTTTGGACAGATAAGCTGTTATATTGTTCTGGCTTTTTTGAATATTTTGATATTAATATTATTATTTGTAGCTATTTGGTTTCAATAACATATGTTTAATTAGATTTGTACCTACTTCTTGTAAGGTTAGGATTTTTGAATTAACATTTAGTGATATTTTTTCTAATGTAATGTTAGTTTAGGCTTAACATGTGTCTTTGTAAATTTAGGCTTATCTGTCATTCAGCTTACTGGTAAATCGTAGGTTAAATATATTATTTCTTCAATAAATTCCATCTAATAAATTTTTTATTGTCAGTATACACTAACTTAATTCAACAATATAACAACTTTTTAATTTTTATAATTAATTATATTTTATACTTCTTACAATTAATTTTGTTTTTGAAGACCCTGGGTCCGAGGTCTACCCAAGCTTATCCCACTATTGCTCGCCTTCCTCCTCTAACTGCCGAACTCATTCAGGACGACATCTTTTTTGACAATTTTCCTCCAACTGATTATGAATTGGCCTTCCCAGGTCTCTACTGCGGAGTCTGCTAGGCCTACCTCAGCCCTTTTTATATATGTTTCACAATTGTTGTTTTTTCCCCTCCTTTTCCAGAAATTTTAGTTCATGCTCGGCCTTTTTGTCTCTCTTTTGGTTCATTTTGTCTTAGCTTACTATCAGGAAGATTTTTTTTCTTGCTTCTCCGCACTTCAAATCTCAGTTCCCTGTGTGGGGGCAATCCTATCCCTTTCTCTCTAGCCATGTTTTCTACCCTTCATCTTCCTCAATCACCTCTCCTACTGGTATTGGCCACCATATACTTCCTTTCTAAGGTGTTCTATCTATTTCTTGGGGTTTTTTGTGGGATACTTTCCTCCTTCTCACCTTCATGTTGGGGAGATTGCCATCTTCGTCTCTTTCCCCACTAACGTGGCTTTTTTGCTTTTGGGATATTCTGGGGTGGAATACTGTCTTGTACAAAGTTTGTTTCCCTTCCAATTTTAATTGGGACTTACAGACTGATCTTTTCCTCCACTGGTCAATTTTTTTTGGAGTGTTATTCCTGTGATTTTGCATCACGTCTGGTATCTGTATTGCTACATTTGTTTTGTTTTTCTTTTTTGTGTGCTCGTTTGTCTCTTTGGCCATTGCATTCTTTATTCATGTTCCATTTTGGGACCTTCCTATCATTTACCTGTCCTACATATAAGAGTTCCTTCTCAGATGTTAACATTCTTCTGGACTCTTCACTGCATTTTCTCCCCCCCCCTTTTTTTTTCTTCCAGTGGTGTATGTTAGTCTTTACTACTTTCCAATTCCAAGCCAATGAGGTGGTGGATCATGGAGGCATCCTCCTGAATGTGATTATGATATACGACACAAATAATGATAAAACCATTAAGTTGAAAGTAGTGTGGTGGTGTTATGCTGGTGTAGATGACGAGATGTCCTCCAATCTGATCCTCCCTCTTTGTATGGGTTTATCTGAGGCGATGTTGTAGCTTTGGTGTGAGCAGTCACTGGGTTTTGGATTTAAGAGCTGAACCAATCAACATAAGTCCTCACACATGTATGGTAGGTGTTCTCATTTTCTCACTTATTTATACTCTTGTTCCCTCCATCTGTGTTGTGGGTCACAGTGGTGAAACTTGTAGATTAATATGTTTTTTTTCTCTTATGCTTACCCTCAATGATTTTTTTATTCCCACCAGTCTGCTGAACTTGAGATGAAGAAGGTATGATTCTCTTTCCTAACACCACCTATTGGCTGGGTTTTGGATTGTAGTTGACTTTCTGGTGGTATGATCCTCTTTCCTACCCCCACATGGGTGTCAGTTTTCGGTGACCTGGGTTTTTGATTGTAGTTTTCTTGCCGTGTATGGTCTATTGCACCCCAGTCACTCTACACCTAGAGACACATCTTTTTACTCTCACCCACATTGATCTACTGTATGGGATTGAGATTCCAATATTGTGTGTTTCAGATCCCTATCCAACCATTTCTCTCTCCCATTTGGACGTGCTCTCCCAATTTCTACCTATATCTGTGACACCTCTTTCCACACTGGGTGAAGAGCATACCTGGTGCAGAAGTGGTGCGATCTCTCACGTATTATCCTCTACTGTGAGGATCTACTCTTTTAGGTTGTCCTTTTGACACTTTCAAAGGATGCTTCTTTCTTTCCCTCGCACAGGTCTCTCCACCTGTTCAGTGTGGATTCTAGCTATTTATGTGAAAAGAAGTAATGTACCCTATTAGAAATTTTAATTTTCCAATACTGAAAATGTATTTCCACCCTTCCTCCTCATTGAAAACTGATGCTTCTATTTTTTGCCAAAGCTCGAAGTGATAGTTTGTTAGAATCAAATAGAGGGAGTCCCATGCGTTAGGAGGGTGTGCTGCACTCCTATTGGTGGAGGGTTGTCACATGATGATTTGCATGGGAGATGCAGTTTAACCACATTGATCTTAGGATAAGTGGGAGCTCAAGGCTCGTGGCATGCGAAGAAAAGTTTTGCTTATAGAGGGCAGCACTGAACAAGAATAGCTATTTATGTGAGAGGATGTAAGTACCTATCGGAAATACATTTTCAGTATAGGAAAATAATAACTTGCATTAGTTGATAAAACACGACAATAATTTCAAGAACAGTTAAATTAGTGCATGAATTAAATGAAATTTGATTCTTCAATTTTAAAATGGTTATATCAATATAACACTTTATTTATCTACTTGTAGATGGTTTACATTGTTCCTTTGCTAGATTGATTGAACTTTGGTGCGAGTGGAACATATACCATGGGATTTGTTTTTTTCACACAATACTGTTTGATTTTTCTTTTTTTTTAAACAACTGAGTAGAACACAACTTACTACAAGCTTATGTATCTTCTATTGATGCCATCAGCTGCAATACAACATTTTGGAATTGTGAACTTTCTGTTGATGACTCTGGATGGTACGCAAAATAATAGATAAATTTAATTTTTTAATGCCACTGACTAGAGTACAATACACTATGAAATTCCCTCTTTCTTTTTCTTCATTTCTGACTGATATACAAGACACTACAAGATATATTATTTTTTTCCTGAATGCCATTGTTATGAAGACAGTACACTAACTCTATCCATTATGGTTAGTATCTTTCAGGTATTGAGTGCACAGCTACTTAACAAAATTTTAAGATTTAAGTGAAAAATAATAATTCTAACTCAATTTCAACATTGAGTACTCAAAAATATTTGAAAATATTCTGATGACTCAAATCCTTATTTATTGAATGTTACTGTGAAGTTTATTGTATTCAATGTAGATGAGTAAAAGAACTTATATGATATACATATAATAGAAAAATATTATATTGTACCAGTTAAGCTTTTGACATAATGAGTATTTTTACCCCCCCCCAAATAAAACTGGAATGCTGAAAGTGTACCTCAGTGCTGTTCCATCTTTCTGTGCAGCTCTGAGGAGACACCTGTAAACAACTCACTTATTATTTTTTTTAGAATTTTCCTGCCTATCCCAAAGCATGGTTTAATAATTGCTAAGAAACTGTCATTTCTTGAGAATAGAATTTAATGTGTATTGTTTCTCGTGTTATGTTCATTTTCTTTTAGTCCTTTTATTACCACAGCCCTTGGTTCCTACTTTTTCATCATGTCACAGCATATGGTCTGAACAATCACAAATGAAGCACAACTTTAAATAAAGCTACAGGCAAATTTAAGTACCATTCAATAGAGCAGGTTATATAATACTTATTTCAATGTAGAGTAAATAAAATGGTTTGAGCAGTAATTTATGTTTTTTTGGGAAAGTAACTACCTTGAACTCCTGTAGGGATGAACAAAGCAATCTGGTGAAAATTTTAGAAGACTTGGGAACGAACCACAGATCTTGGAATTTTCTATAGTATTTGTTTTAAATCTAAAAAAAACTTTTCTTTGATAGGATATCGGGTATTAAAGCTTAGGTTCAAATACTATTGTAGGTGATGGCAAAGTATTCAGAAGACTCAAATTCTTAAAACATTGAATATTATTCTTAAGTATATCATATTCAAACAATTCACATATAGATCTTATCATTTATTGTTAAGAAATCATGTTTATTAGATATAAATTGATCTCCAACAAGAATATTATTGACAAAATTATTGTTACCTAGCCTGACAAGGTAATAGTGCAATACCTTTTGAGAGATGAGGTCCTTGAATACTGATAAATTTATATTGGTTTTTGCCATGTTTATTATGACTTACACAGGGTTCGTACGCGTCCTGGAATGTCATGGAAATCCTGGAAAAACGCGATTTTTTTTTCCAGTACTGGAAAGTCCTGGAAAAAACGAAAATGTCCTGGAAAAATAAAATTTGTCCCGGAAAAAAATGTTTTTTTTTTTAATTTTTGGTTTTCTTGTTTTTACTTGGTGCGAACGAGCCTGACTGGTTCCCATTCATTATCCCCCGGCCTTTTCATTGTATTAGCCACATGTGTTGATGATAGGGG